ATGGGAAGGGATAGACAGGGATCCACAACAACAGGCATGTATTCACAGCAATATTTAAGAATATGTGACTTTACATCAATAAGAATATTAACTTCCACAGTGCCTGTGCTGCAGGATATAAATCAATGTAAGGAAAAATAACAATAGTAAGGATATAATGCTGTAGAGTGGCTCTGCTGGAGCCACAGATTGATCAGCAGTAAATATTCTCTGTTTTGCAAAGTTAAAGCTCTGTTTTCCATAAAGACCAGGTGTGTGGGATGCTGGAGTCAGGCTGGTCTCTACAAAGAGAGGAGCCATTCCACACTTCAGGAGTTGCTATGTATCCTGAAAAATGTCCCAAAAAAGGCAAAAAATCCAACTGTGGCAACAGCTTCTTTCCAGGCTGATGCTCTCTGCTGCTGCCTGAATGTGCTGGCTCCATGTCACATCAATACAGAGCTGTTGAGCAGCTTTAATAATGTCATTTTTGCCACTTTTTCCCTCTGGAAGGCCAGAACAAAGCTCTGTGTGAATGAGAACAAAGCTCTTACACAATGGAGTCTGTTCATGGAGAGGGATGATTCAAACCAAGCTTTATAATTCCTTAATTATATTTGATGTGACCTAACCCATGACAATCCCGAGTCTGAGGTTGTCAAACAGGATGTGAATATTGTAAAGACTTTGGGACAGTGCCCACAGCTGGGCTGGATTTCCCTGTGTCAGTAAAAAAGTGAAAGAGAGAGGTTTTCTCAGGATATTTTTTCTTTGTAAAACTCACTTAAAAAAATATGAAGAAACAAATTGCTTTTAAAATATTTTTACAATGCGACTGGGGATGGGGATTTTTGTTCCTTAGCTGTTTTTTCTTAGTGACCTGAATTTCCTTTCAGGGCTCAGCAGATTCGTACACGAGCAGACCGTCAGACTCTGATGTCTCTTTGGAAGAGGACAGGGAAGCAATCCGCCAGGAGAGGGAGCAGCAAGCGGCCATCCAGCTGGAGAGGGCCAAGGTGTGTTCTTTTCACTGACTCGTGTGCCACTTACCTTCTGCCTGCTGCTAAAATTCACATTTCCTTTTGAAATACTTCAGCAAAATATCCACAGAGAGGATACTAGGGGAATTTAGTGTCGATATTCTCCAGGGAGCTGAACTCTGCTGGCCTGGGTGAAATGATTAGGGCTGAATTTTTATGGATGAAAAGTTCTCAGTGTTTTTGATGTGTTTTTCTCTTTCTAGTCCAAACCTGTGGCATTTGCTGTCAAGACCAACGTGAGTTACTGTGGGGCTCTGGATGAAGATGTTCCTGTCCCCAGCACTGCCATCTCCTTTGATGCCAAGGACTTCCTCCACATTAAAGAGGTAAAACCAAGGGAAAGGGAATCTTTTTTACAGCCAAGAGCTTTGATTTGAACAGCTGAGCCATGTCCAGGAGTACTGAGGGGAGGACAGTGAGGATGAGGTGATTCTTCATCCCTCCTGGAGCTCCTGCACCCTGGGGTGCTTATCCTGCCCTTTTGGAGCACTTGGTATTACAAACATGTTGGAATTTGATCACACAGGAAGGAAATAACACACTTGAAAGTGGTGGGTTCGGGTTCCTTTCATCAGAACAAGTTTGTGCTGGATCAGAGATGATGCAGGAGAAAGGGATTCCGTAGAGCACAGAGGATTCCATGGAGCAGGACCAGGTCACATCAGGTCTTCAAAAAAACACCAGATAAACTCCCTTCCAGAGAGGAAGTAACACTTAGATTAGAACAGTAAGCAAAGAAAAATCCTGAAGAGGACAGATGCAAAAATAAGGGGAAAAATGGGAATAAATGAGCCCTGAGTATGGCTTTGGTAGAGAAAATTGCATTTTATTGCATGCTGAGCATATTTTCTGCAATTTTTTATCTGAAGTGAGCCCTCCACATTTGCATAACCCCCTGTTGTGCTGTGGATTGGTACAGAGGCTTGCAGCTTGCAAAAGCACTTTTTCATCTCTGCATTTTGGGTTTATTTTGGGGTGTTCAGTGCTCATCTGTGTCTTTCTTTGAACACGTGTTCATCATCACTCCAGAGCACTGATCTCCCTTAGACAGAGCACATTCAGGAGGAAAACACCTGCTGCTGCCCCTCCTCTGGTGCTGGAACAGGGAATTGCTTCACATCCCCTCTCCCTGAGAGGGCAAGGCAGTAAATTCCCTTTTTTTTCCAGTTTTTAATCTTGGTTTTCCTGGACGTGGCCACCTTTATTGCCAGGGCACTGATGGAGTTGCACACCCTAAGCTCCTGTCATGCTGCCCTGCACATTTTTCCAGACAAGTGTCCCCAAATCTTGTCTTGGCATTCCATGAATTGTGTTCCAAGGTCTAAAAACCCAGGATCACAGTGCCACTGAGCTGTAAACCGTGTGGCTCACTGGTGTTTGTCAGCTCAGCCTGCCTGGAGCTGGTGATGCCTTGAGGAACTGGAGCAGAGGCTGCACACAGAGTTAAGGAGAATAAAATGGGTATTTATTGAGAGGCCTATAAAGCCACACCCCAGCAATATCAGTGGCACAGTGGTGGCCCCTGCCTGGATGGCTCCAAGATGGAAGGAAAGGAGGGGTTGGTCACAAAATCTCACACTTTTATAGGTTCTGGTTCATTTGCATGAACCCACCCTCCACCTTTCCACGGAGTTTGTGCTCAGGGCCTGAAGTTTGGAGAAACTGTCCTGGAGTTCTTAACTGGAATAGGACTGGTTTGTCTTCATCACCCCAGCACATCAGAAAAGCACATCCAAGGAGAAAGGGAAACTTAAAACTAAAAGCATCACTGGAACTCAGTAGGATTTGGGGAATGGTTCAAAAAGGCTTTGCAGGATTTGTTTTTCGGTGATCTGGACCAGAACAATGGTTCCAGGGTTTGGGATGGTGCTAAGCTGGGTACAAAGTCAGGTCACCCTTTGGCAGGATGGGGCAGAGGCAGTGAGTGAGGAGCTGCTCTTTTGAGGACGTGTCCTGTGTTGTCTCATCTCTTCTCCTCCAAATTATACATTGTGGGCTTGCTTAAAGGATGAAATGGCAACAATTCCTGACAGAGCAGAAGGAATCATGGGCATGGCAACCAGGGGAGGGAATGTGCTCCTCCCACACACGGACTAACAGAGGGGAGGGAATGACCTAAGGCACATAAATCCCGAGTTCCTCACTGCAGCTTTGGCCTTTGTGTGTTCAGATGCTCCCAGCATAACCCAGACTGGTTTGGGATGGAAGAGATCTTAAATGGGCAGGGACATTTCCACTGTCCCAGGCTGCTCCAAGCCCCAGTGTCCAACCTGGCCTTGGACACTCCAGGGATGGGGACCCCACAACCTCTCAGTTCACTGATTTCCAACAGCAGGATGCTGAATCCTGAAGGATTTGTCTGGTTCACAGACTGGGAGTAGTTCTGTAATTTAACATACTTCAAATAAAGCATTGCTCACTGCCACTGTCTGAATCAAGGTCACAACAGCAGGAGGAATAAATACTTAGCTGGAATGATAAAATAATGGAACCTCTTGCTTAAATATATGAAAGAGGATAAAGAGGTTTTTCAGGATGTGAGGATTGCATTCCCGTGGTTTTTATAATATGTTCATATTTATGATTGGGTTAATGTTCAGCTGTCTGGGTTGATAAAAAGCAGATATTTATTTTTCAGCGCTGAGGCTCTGTGTTTCAGAGTCATCACCAGGCACTGCTGCACCTCTGACAGCAGGGACTTGGTGTTTCTGTGTTCCTGCAGGAACTGAAGTGCTTGCAAATGTGGAGCCAGGAGCAGGGATGATCTTGAAGATGAGATCTCTGTGATGGCTTTTTCCTCGAGGCAGGCAAACAAAACCCATTCACTCGTGCTGCTCTTAATGACTCCAGAGTCAGTTGTGAAAAGCAATGTTTCTTTTGAGCACTGAGCTGCCTAATGAAGCAGAACAGAGGAGAGGCTTTTCAGATACTTTTCTTCAAAAGCTCTGCTGGCAGCAGCTACAACAAATCCTTTTCCACTCCAATATCCACCAGGATCCTCCTGCTTTCCATCTTGCCATCATTAGGGACAGACCAGACTTTCAATAAAGCAGAAAAATATATGTTACTGAAGGTCAGTGATAAAATGCTATACTTTGGGTATACATTAAAATTTCTTCCTAAAGGTGAACTTTCCTTAATCTGTCATAACCTGTTAATAACATCCCTACAAATACCTGGAAAAAGGAGGAAGGGAAAGTGATGATCTTTTGTCTAGACCATTAAATATGACAAGCAATATTTGATGGGAAGCTGAAGGTGTTATGTTGGGTTTTTCCTGGGATATTTTTTCTCTTATTTTACATTTCCATATATCCATGTACACAAACAGGACAGGAACTGAGCAGTTGTCTCAAAGCTTTATTCCCTCACACCCATCAGTGTCATTTTACAGAACCCAGCAAGGGAGAGGGAACAGCTTCAGCTGCTGGCCCAGCACACCGAGCTCTCTTTGTTATAAAATCTTTTAACAACTTTCTAGCCAATAGCAGAATATTAAAAGCTGACAAGTGTTTGCTCAGGCCAGTTAATAAAGCTAAACTACATCCTGCTTGTTTGTAATAGCTTAAAACAATGGATAAAGCTCCATTATTAAGCTTGCATATTTTTATTATTTTGCTGAACATATTTTCCTGTCTCTACACAGCTCCCAGCCCTGTTGTTTCTTGTCCTTGCATCTTCAGCATTCCTACATTTCTCCATCCTGACATTTGCTTTCACACAGCTTTTGAGAGTTTTATACCTTTTCTATTTCCCACAGTGTTATGTTTTCTGCTGAGAGGTTGTTTGGTGGGCTCAGCTCAGAAAAAAATGGGTTCTGCTCATTAAATCAACCTTGAAATTAAATCAGCAAGGGCCAGGAGGAGGGGAATCCTTGGTGCTCTGGTCAGAGTGAGCCTGGTTCGCTATGCAATGGAGTTAAGGAATGTGCATAACAAAGGGAGGGAATTTAAAAGCTGCAGTTGTTGCCTGGAAAGGCAGATAAAAAGGAATAAAATAGGAATTTATTGAAAGGAATAAAATAGGAATTTATTGAGAGGAATAAAATAGGAATTGATTGAAAGCATTCACTTGGGCAGTGCAAGAGCCCAGCCAGGGCTGCACCCAAATCAAACCCCAGATGGATCCTGGTCACGAGTTTTACACTTTTATAAGTTTTGGTTCATCTTGGGGTCAATTATCCAAGCACAGCCCCAGGCTATGAAGTCTCAGCCCCCTTTTCCCTCTCTGTTGTTCCTGATTTTTGGGTCCCAGTTGTCCTTGATTCTCCAGCTGGGAAGGAATTGTTTTATCCAACCACCCTGTGAAGAGAACTCACTGACACCTAACGTGAAACTCCAGAGTTACACACCGAGCAGCAGAGATTCTGAAAAACATAAAAGCTCAACCCCAAAGCACCAGAGTAAGCAGAAAGCTTTGCTGTGTTACAGAAATACAACAACGACTGGTGGATAGGGAGGCTGGTGAAGGAGGGCTGCGAGATCGGCTTCATCCCGAGCCCGCTGCGCCTCGAGAACATCCGCATCCAGCAGGAGCAGAAGAGGGGCCGCTTCCACGGAGGGTGAGACAGCCCTGACCTTTGCAAATCATTTCAAATCCTTCCTGAAACCCTGCAATATTTCCAAAGGTCACCCGCTGCTTTTTATTGCAGGGCATTGTTGGGTTTGGGATTCCCGGGTGGAAGGGAGGATTTGAGAAGAGCGGGGCGTGGGAGATGTTGGTGATGAGAAATAAAAGATGTGTTTGACTTTAGGAAAGAGCAGTGAGGGATAATGACAGGAATTTCTGAGACTTTTGTGGTTTTAGGTCAACTTGATGCTTAAAGTCTCCCAGATTTTTCCCAGCTTTTCTTAGCTTGTGTGGGTTTTTTCCTTCCTTTTTTTTTTCTTTCCTCTCCATTTTGGCCCAAACCAGACTTGTCAAATTTAGTAAGATCAGCTTTGCTATCCTTTAATCTTCATCTTCCAGGTGAGATTTTTTTGAGTCTCCACCCTGCCACACCTGGAGATTGCAAATCCCTGGAAAAAGGTCTGGGAGATAAACCTGGGAAATGCTTTCAGAGTGGTTGAACAGCATCCAAATTTCTTGTGTCATTTTGGACACAACTTCAGAGGCAGCCAGTGGGTCTCAATATACAGAGAAATAACTGACTTCAGTCAGATGCTCCTGGATTTGGATGATAAAATTCCATATTTTAATGATAAACCAGTTAATTTTTAGCTTTGTTAGAGTCATTTATGCTTGTATGACCTTGTGATTCCTCATGGGATAATTCCTCCCCAAAACCTCCCACATTTTGGGGTGCCTGGTGTTGATGGGGCTCTTTCTGCTGCTGTAGGAAATCCAGTGGGAATTCTTCTTCAAGCCTTGGAGAGATGGTTTCTGGCACATTCCGAGCCACACCTACAGCCGCAGGTAGGACAGGATTTATTTAATAATAATAATAATAATTATTATTATTATTAATAATTCTGTTAAAAAAACCCTACATGAGAAATGCAGGTTGCCCCCTGTTCTGAGTTACTGAGATTTTTTCCAGGGAGAGGAGCCCATTTATTCCCAGCCATGAAGGAGTTGCCAAGGGCTGGGAAAAAACCTTGGGAACAGTGGCAGCTGCCCCAGAATACCCAGTTTAATGTATAGAATGCCCAGTTTAATGTATAAAATTCCCAGTTTAATGTATAGAATGCCCAGTTTAATGCACAGATTGCCCAGTTTAATGTATAGAATGTTCAGTTTAATGCATAGAATGTTCAGTTTAATGCACAGATTGCCCAGTTTAATGCACAGAATGCCCAGTTTAATGCACAGGTTGCCCAGTTTAATGCACAGGTTGCCCAGTTTAATGCACAGAATGTCCAGTTCAATGTACAGAATGCTCAGTTTAATGTATAGAATGCCCAGTTTAATGTATAGAATGCCCAGTTTAATGCACAGAATGCCCAGTTTAATGCACAGATTGCCCAGTTTAATGTACAGAATTCCCAGTTTAATGCACAGATTGCCCAGTTTAATGCACAGAATGTCCAGTTTAATGTACAGAATTCCCAGTTTAATGCACAGAATGTCCAGTTTAATGCACAGGTTGCCCAGTTTAATGCACAGGTTGCCCAGTTTAGTCAGGCCTGAGCAGAGGGAGGTGCACAGACAGAAATCAAAGTGCTTTGGCAAAGGGATTTCTGGTTGTCTTGGGTGTGTTTTAACCAAGTTCTCCTTTGGTCTTCTAGCAAAACAGAAACAAAAAGTGGTAAGTAATGCTTTTGTTTCCATTTGATTTCCTTCTAATTCATAATTCCCAGGATCTCCCTGTGGCTGTTGTTTGGTTGATGGTCTGAAGGGTTGTTTTTTCCCTCTAGACAGAACACATTCCCCCCTATGATGTAGTGCCATCAATGAGACCTGTGGTGTTGGTGGGCCCATCACTCAAAGGCTATGAGGTATGGACTGAGGTGTTGGCAATTAATTCAACTTTTATTATCTCTGATCATCCTCAGTAATTCTATGTGTGGCTCAGTGCAACTGGTTTATGATAATTTCAAGTGATTTAGTTTAAATAATTACCAAAGTATTCTGTAAGAGCTAAGAGTTACTTCTGACTCGTTCTGTTTTAAGCACAGTGCAAATCTATTATTTTCAGTGCACTCATTCCTATTAAATCAAGTAAAAAAGAGAATTTGTGTGTGCTACAAGCAGTCAAATTATGAAAAATGTTCATCAAACCAGCCCGTGCTTTGAACTTAATTAGCAAAACACTTGAAGGAGCTTCCTTGTTGCTCTCTTTTTTTCACTTTATTAATAAAAAAATACAAATATTTTGCAAATATTAACCCTCCTAAAAGATTCCCCAGGTGGAAGTGGGCAGGAGAACATGCCCAGATAACCAAGAGAGCCTTTTTTTAGGCTCTGCAGATTCAAGTGAACATTTACCACGTGCTAAACCAGCAGAGACTTTGGGCAGGGCAGTTTAGGGATCTCAACCATCTGGGAAGTGCTGAACCAGGAACTAAATGAACATCAAATCACAGATACAATTCATTAAGCTTAATTAACGTTGTCAGTAATTTCTAGGATATTATGAAACATATTGGAATTGTTCTTTTTGGGAGGTGAGAGCCCTGCATAATGCAGTGTTGTGGCATTGTTTTTATGTGAGAGTGGCTGGAGGTGCAGCTCAGCAGAGCAGCTCCTTCATGTTCTGCTCTCTGCCTTTTCATTTGATGGGCAATTTTTTTGACAGGAGTAAATTCCCTCTGTGCTGCACCACAGATCAATTTACCTCTGGAGTTTGGAGGGGAGAAGAGGCTGTTTGTTCATGAAAACCTCTTCAAATCTGCCACTCTGACTTTTTTATTTTTTTTTTTAAGAAAACAACACTAAACACCTTGAACATACAAACGTGTGGAAATGGTTACGCAGAATTTTAATTCCAATAACAAAAATGCTTCATCTTACTTGGGGCAAATTATTTTGACTATTTTTTTCTGGCTAAATGCTGAAGGAATCAGTTGGAAGGAGAAGAAATAAAGTGGCAGAGAGACCTGGGGGCTTTGATGAAGCTGCTGCCTGGCCTGGCAGATAATAATTACCAGCCTGAGTTGTCCTGGAAAGGACAAGGAGCTGCTCAATAAATCAGATGGCAGAGATGACAGCTCTGGGGGCTGAGCATCTCAGATGTGTTCCCATATCCAGCAGTGGGAACATCCCCATTTTTTTGCTGCTCTCCCTCTCTGAGAACACTCCCCCAACGTGACAGATCTCATCCCTGGAGTTTGAAGCCAAATCTAACAACGTTGTGTAGGAAAAGCCCACGTGGTGTGTCCATCCCACGTGCTTGTGCTGTGTTGTGAAGCTTTGGGAACTTCTGGTGCTGGATGTGGAAGGGGGTGAGGAATTCTCAGGGCAGGACAGGAGCACACACACACACACACACACACACACACACACAGTGACAGCTCTGCACCTGGAGCAGTGAGCCAGGAAACTGCCATGGATTTCTCTCTGAGCAGGAGAGTGGCACTGGGATGGTTCTGCCCATCAAAGGTGTTGATTGTTGGCTGTATCCCTGCCTTCTACTCACCTCTTTCCTTCCTTTTGGCTTCTTTTCTCTCCCTGTCCATCCCCCTGCTCAATCTTCTCCCCTCTGCCAAGGTGACAGACATGATGCAGAAAGCTCTCTTTGACTTCCTGAAGCACAGGTTTGATGGGAGGTGAGAAACTCTGTCCTTCTCATGCTGCTTTGCCCATGTGTTACTAACATTTCAGTGAATTATTTTATTTTTTTTTTTTTTTTGATGCCAGAGGGTTTGCTGCATGATCAAAGCTTTGTGTCACCACTGAAAAGAGTGGGACACAGCTCATGTGTTACAAGGGGTGCACATGTCTGCATTTCTGCCATGGCTGGGCTAGCATTTCTTAGTTTAACACAAGGATTTTGTCTCAGTGTCTTCCCAACACCTAAGAAAAATCAGCTCTAAAATATTCCTTGTATAAGATTTTATTTTGTAGGCAAAAATACTGAAAGGGGTGGTTGGAAGAAGGAAATGCTGAGAAATTAAACACAAAAAAAAGAATTGTAAAGAGGGTTCATCTTCAGCTGGAGCATTTCCTGGTGAGCTGTAGAGGATAATTTAGATTTCCTTGCTAGAAGCACTGGCTTGGTCCATGGCATCACCTCAGTCCTTGCAGGTGTCTGCTGCACCTTTGGGATGTTCTGCCCTTCCCACTTAGTTCAGGATATTCCAGCTGGGAAAAGAATCTGTTCTGGTAATATATAACACTAAGTCAGGTTTGAAATACCCAATGCACCAGGGCAGGGGAAATGATGTTCTGTAGAAGAGCTGGAGCAGGATTTATGGATTTTAGGAGTGAGGAGGTGGCAGTGCTGAACTGACCCTCAACAGCTCAGAGAGAACATTTAATGATCAACTTGTGTGCAAAGTATCTCCTCTCCTGGCCTCTTCTGAGCTGCTCAGCTCAAGTGGTTTTCTGGAAATGCTAATTCCATCAGCAGTATTGGCAGCTGGATCAGGTGAGAGTGTGAAATTTCAGCAGTGGAGAGCTCAGTGCCACCAGCAGCCTGAGGCCATTGATTTTAGTTCTGACGGACTCAGGAAAAAGCTGCTTCTTGGTCCTTCTGCCAACTTTTATGGCTTTGTGGTCTTTCTCCTCCCTCCTTTTTCTTTTTTTCTATCTTTCTGTCCTTCTCTTCTGCAGTTTTGGGAGAGTTCCACGTTACCAGGAAAGGAGCTGAGTGTCCAAGGCAGAGCCTTGACTCCTTCCCTGCCTCTGAATTCCTTTGCCTTTGCCAGCTCCTTCCTTTGTAACTGCAACCTCCCCTGCTGGCCAGTGAGCCAAAGACCCACAATCCATTCATTTCTATTTTAAACCCATTTTTACTTTTGGCCTCTACTGTATTTTCTGGCAACACGTTTATTTATGTATTATGCAGAAAAATAACTGCACTTGTTTTTCATCTCACAGCTGAGAATTTCATTTAGAGCTGCATAAATCTTAGGTCCTGTGCAAAAGCTGCTGGTCATTCCATTCCTTTTTCTCTCCATTTTTCCTGGCTCCTTGGCTCATCCCAGGCCTCCTCAATGGATTTTACATGAAGGGACTGCTTTGTAACATTTTGTATCTTTATAACTCACTGACAGATGAAGTCAGTAAATCACCTGCCTTAAGTTAAAGAGGTGCAGTGAAATTAAACTTGAGTTCAAGCAGCCCAGAGAGCTCCACTTCCTTTTCTCCTGCTCGTGCCAGCCCCTGGCACAGCTCCCTGTTTACTCTTGGTTTACTCCTGGTGTAACTCTGAGGGAAGAGGAAGTGCTGCTACACTGCAGCTCCCTCATTGTGAGTGCCCCAAGCCTCACAGAACTCACAGCATTTATGGCACTGTGTAAATCCATGCAGATGAGTGAGCTGGGAGGAGAAAAGGTAATTAATGCACTAAGGAGAATAGCAGGATGTGGTTATTGTGCTGCAAAGAGAGAGGAAGGACAGCAACACACACGGAGCTTTTTTGGGGAAAAAAGGCCAATTTATTGTATGGACAATTTGTATTTAAAGTGTGTCAGTGCAGCCAGGACAGGACAGGAGCTCATTGGACAATTGGGAAAAACATCCTTGGGACAGCACCTCAGGATGTGTCCCACGGGAAAGACACCAGGGGTTAATGTTGGTGATGAATTCCACTCTGTTTGTCACCATGTTGTCACCCTGGGAGACTCCTCCCTAACTGAAGCTGCAGTCAGCTTGTCAGCCTGGGAATGGAGCTGAGAGTCAGGAGAAATCCAGGCCTGGAGAGAATTCCCAAGCTGCAATTCCCCAGCTCTATAAATGTGTGTGTCCACAGCAGGAACTCCATCCCAGAGCTCAGGGGATAGGAAATCCTTCCCAGTCAGCCAGCACTTCCCTTCAGTTGTTCTTTAATGAAGCCATAACTCATGTGGAAACGTGTCAGAGCATGTTTGATTGCATCTGCCCTTTGCAATGTTCTGTGGCTGCAAATCCCACTCGTGGCTTTGTTGTGTGTGCTGTGCTCTCCTGCCAGGATATCCATAACCAGAGTGACAGCTGACATCTCCCTGGCCAAGAGGTCTGTGCTCAACAACCCCAGCAAGAGGGCGATCATCGAGCGCTCCAACACCAGGTCCAGCCTAGGTAAGGCCCAGCTCAGTGCCAGCAGTTCAGGCTGTGCTTACACACAGGAGGAAAGGGATTCCAGCCTTCCAGAGCATGGAATCCCAAAGGATCGTGGATGCAGCTCCTGGCCCTGCACAGACACCCCAAAATCCCAGCCTGGGCATCCCTGCTGTGTCCAAACACTCCTGGAGCTCTGGGAATGTTCCCATTCCCTGGGGAGCCCCAGCAGCCTCTGGGGGAAGAACCTTTCCCTGAAATCCAACCTAAATCTGCCCTGACCCAGCGCCAGCCATTCCCAAGATGACAGCAGCTCTGCAGATTTCAATGTGTCTACAGCATTTTACTGCATAATCCTGAGTTGACCTCACAGCTCCTCCTCCTTCCCATCCCCGTGTGCTTTTAATTCCACATCACAAGGAGCCAAAGAGCTTTCACTTGCCCAGCCAAGGAAGTGTCATTCCTGACCCTGGGACCAGTTTTGAGTTTGATGTTGAGCACTTACAGCTGAATTTTGCTGCCTGGCTCTGAGACTTTGTGTCCTGCCCCTCTCCTCAGTGTCAGGGCTGCTGGGGAACAGTAGCCTGAGGAATTTTTATTTGGACTCCACGATCTTAGAGGTCTTTTCCAACCTTGATGGTTCTGTGGTTGTGTGATTCTTTCTTGCACAAGGGTGGAAATTTGTGTGTATCACGTGCATTCCAGTGTCCTTCTCTCTGGGACACCATCCCAGGAACTAAGAGGAGTTGGGTTTGGTAAAACAAACAAAAAAAAGAACCCAAATTCCAAATCTTTTCCATCCTGAGTGCTTGCAGTAGAGGTACAGGTAACAGATTATTTTATGGCAATGCCATCAGTTAACATGTGGAGTCTGTGACAGTAAGTGGGTGAGGATATTTTTATCCCAATGCCCTGGGGTTCAGTGGTTTCACCTGCTTTGCTTTCCTTTGCAGCTGAAGTGCAGAGTGAGATTGAAAGAATCTTTGAGCTGGCCAGGTCCTTACAGCTGGTTGTCCTGGATGCAGACACTATAAATCACCCTGCACAGCTTATCAAGACATCTCTAGCACCAATTATTGTCCATGTGAAGGTGTCCTCTCCAAAGGTAATTCCTCACCTTAAAATCCAGGAGGGACTTGGAGGGCAGGATGGGAATGAGCAGTGTGGAATCTGCACCTGAAAAGGGGGAAAAATGCCATAATGTACTGCTGGTGTGCTGCAGTACATCCAGAAATCCAGATAATTCTGTATAAATATAATTTTCATGCTTCTCTATTGTCAGAAATAACGTAGGACTTAAAGCAGGATAAAGCAAAAATGCATTTGAAATTTTTCAAGGGCTCAAACGTGATCCAGAGGGAAATGTACCCAGTTCTCAGAGGGGTTATCAGAAAGGTTTGGGATATTCAAGGGCAGTATTTTATGGAGAGCTTCTGCCCTTGGTAACCCCTCAGGGAGGTATCAGGCTGAGCTTTAGGGAGATAAATGATCCTTAAAGTCACCTTTTGCCCTTTCCTCCTGTCAGGTTTTGCAACGACTGATCAAGTCCAGAGGGAAGTCCCAAAGCAAACACTTGAATGTCCAGTTGGTGGCAGCTGATAAACTTGCACAATGCCCACCAGTAAGTACAGAGGAGAGGCTGAAGAACTCCTGCTTTGTGGAATTCTGATGATTCCTGCCGTGCTGATCCCTGTGCTGAGCTGGGCCCATCCATTGTCACTCCCTGGTGGTGCTCACACAGCCCTGCACTCGTGAGACACCACGTGCTGCAGACTTTCATCCTGGTGATCTCCTGCCCCGGGTTTGTTTTGGTCTTTGGCAGGGTGACAGGGCAGGAGTGACGTGGAAGGGACAACAGAGCTGCTCATTAGCAAATTACATCATTTGTGGAGCTCCACGTCCCTGAGGGACAAAGTCTGAGTTTGGAGAGGAGGCTGCAGAGGCCTCACTTAATGCACAGGGAGTGAAAGGGAAAGGGAAAGGCATGGGAGCCCTGATCCTGATCCTGATCCTGATCCTGATCCTGATCCTGATCCTGATCCTGATCCTGATCCTGCAGGCCATCCCAGCCACCTCATCAGAGCACAGCCACTGCTCTCCCACCTCCTGATCAAGGATCCTGCCCCTCTCCTGGAATCCTGAATTCCTGCTGATGGAGCAGAGGCCTCAGGGCTCATGAGCAGGGTTGGGAGAGGCTCTGCAGAGGTTTGGACAGAGCAGCTCAAACTTGCTTTTAGTTTTGAAAGGCACAGCTGGTTTCTGGGACAGATGCAGTGGGAATGGACTTGGATGTGGCTTTGTGTAGGATCTGTGTGGGATGTTGGGATGGGAGTGCAGAGACTCCTCAGGACACCAGAGCAGTGACAGCTGCTCAGGGCAGCCTGTTCTGGAGAGCTCAGCTGTGTTACACTTCTCACATGGAATCTTTTATTGACTTGTGATTTCTTAAAATGCTGATGGGTTATTCCTGTGAGCCATCCATGCCCCACTAACCAAACCAGAACTGTAAGTGTCCTGGAGAACAGACTGATCCTTCTAAAACCCATCCCTTCACAACTCTTCACGGGTGTGAGCTGAGGAACTGGAGCTGCAGCTGCCCCTGTTTGAGTGGTTTGTGGTGTTTGCCCTGAGCTTACACACAGAACAGCCCTCTGCACATTGTCCTGTGGGAAAGGTCTTTCCTCTGGCACCTGCACACACTACCCTGGGCAGTTTCACAGCCTTTTTTTTTTTGCTCTTTCTGCAGTAATTTCCTCTTCCTCAGCTTCACTTTGCTCACATCAGCTGAAATGAGAGAAGTCACCAGAGAAGCTGTGGCTGTTCCAGCCCTGGAAGTGTCTCAGGCCAGGCTGGACAGGGCTTGGAGTGGAAGGTGTCCCTGCTCATGGCAGGGGTGGATGAGATGGTTTTTTAGGTCCCTTCCAACTTGTGGGATTCCCAAATTCCATGAAATAATCCATGTGCTGCCACAGCTTGTTGGGTGCATTGTGGCACTTGGATTGTCCACCCCTAGATTTACTAAACTCTGCCTCAACACCCAGTCCTGGATTTCCATTCCAGTGCTGAAGGCAACCAGGTGAGGCCCCACCTGGATCAGAAAAGCCTCTCCAAATGTCAGAGTCCCAGGTTTCAGCCTTGAACCCAGCCCTGCTCCCAGGCTGTTTGCACCCTGCCCTGCCCAGGAGCTGCTCCCAGACCAGCTCAGCACTTTGCACTGGTGATGGGGAGGAAGTGATTGCTGACTTTGAGATCTCCCAGAGAGGTGACAGTCTGGCTTGGCTTGAAATTAAAGTTGATGATTTAATTAGGTAAAAGTACATTGCTAAGAGCAAAGGCAGTGCTCCCTCTCTCCTGTTTTATCCCTTTTACAGCTCAGGTTCCTGCAAGAGGAGAATTTGGTTTGTTTAAAGGGAAGAAGGTCCTTGCAAAGGGTGCAATCCTCACTCTGTTCCTTTGCTGAGAGCCAGCCATAAGGAATGAGCTGCATGTCTAGACATTGTAAAAATAGCTGTCTCTCTGGGCATATTTGAGCTCAGGAACTGCTTTCATTATTAATTCCTTGCTAATCTGCCCCTGATGCTGCTTGAGCTGGTGTTGGGCACTGCAGGACACCAGGAATATTTCAGGACTCCAGGAACTCCACAGCAGGACCATGGCAGGGCTCAAGGAAACACAAACTGTACCTCCTTAAATCCACTGCTCATAAACACTTCCTTATTGGTTGTTATTTTTTCAAACTTCTGAATTCATGCCAAGAGAGGGTACAAACTCCTCAGGTCTATTTGACACGACCTAAAAGATACCTAAAATTACACTGCAGCAGAACTAAAGTGCATTGGTTAATTAAAATGTAATTAGGATATATCTACGAGTTGAAATTCTTCCTCCTTTCAGGTGATTCTACAGCAAACCAAAAGAAATAGCAGAGGACAGTGGCCACTGATCTGCTCTTCAGCAAAGGCCACTTGTGTCACTAGAGAGTCACCAGGAGCTGGGGATGCTCCTGTGGTGACTTCTGTGCATGTAAGAAAATCTGGCAGAGGAATTGCTTTACTCCATGACCCTCACAAACAGGGATCTCCCTAAAAGATGATTTCCTGCCAAATCCATGGGAACACAACCAACCCAGCTGAGGGATGAGCAGAACTGTTGAATGCTAGAGAAAACCTGAGTGGTTTATTCTCTTTTCTTTTATTCTCCTTGTCAGACACTGGAGTCAGGATCCTGCCAGGGCTGCAGTGAAATATTCGAAGGGTAACAGTTGTTAGGAGTCCTAAATCCAGTGTAATTCTTTATTTAAGAAAACATGTTACACTCCCAGGTGTTCCATTTCAGTCTTTTCCAAAGCAAAGTACATGTAAGCAAATCACATCCTTTTATCTTCTAATTTAACTGTGTTTTAATTGATAACTTCTTCCTCAAGTGAGTGATAGACAGGAATGTGTGGTGCATCAACAATAGCAAAATAGTAAAAGCAGTAAATAAAGAGAGGAGCAAAAGAAGAGCAATAAACACTGAACTGGACCAAGGGATGCAGTGTTAGGAATATTCTGATTAAAAGGAAACTCCTCCTTGCTGGCAGAGGAGGAAACTTCTCTGCCATGGTGAGAAGAGAGAATAAATTTAAAAAAAGGAAAAAAAAAAAGATGCTTTATTATTTTAAATCTTATTCTGAGAGCTGTAAAAACAGGTGGAAGAGAGCAGCCTGTGGTTAGTGTTGGTTGCCCTTGACATGCACAGCACCTGCTCTTATTTTCCATTTCCTGTGCTGTTCTCAGTATTTTGCAGTATTTTGCAAAGTTAAGATGAGAGATGAGATAGGAAGTTGAACTGCTGAAAATAGGGTTTTGTTTCTCTCGAGGGGCTCTGCTGGTTCTGGCAGGGATGGAGGTGCTTACAGCCAGCACATGAGGAGCTGTCTGCAGAATTCCCTGAGGCAGGAATGCTGCTGCTGTCAGGGCTGCCTGCCTTCTTCACTGCTCTGGGAATGGTTTTAGGGGCATCAGCACTAAAAAGAAAGAAAGAAATGAATTGAAGAGTTTTGGGCTCATGCAATAGCCAGAGACCCAGGGACAGTGTTCTGTCCTGAGGGCTTTGGCTCTTGGTTACCTTCTAAACCCACTTGTACCATTTTCTGTTCCAGCCACGGAATCATGGAATGGTTTGGG